AACTATGTATCCCATTATATATTGTCTTCGTACGTATACTTTCAACAGATTTGGCCACCAGTATGGTATGTCTGAGAAATAATTAAAGACATATGAACCCAATGTTGCCATCAATCAACCAGTTTGAAACAAATCTTGTGTGCACCAGTTAAACTCATGAGTGTGATGCCATGTTTGAAATCGGTCAAGGCATGTTTTCGAAACTTATTCATAAATGTTCATTTTTTGTATATGGGTGAGAAAAATAGACACCAGTCAGGTGTAAGTTTGAATGAGATCGGCAAACGTATGGCTAAGAGACACTTGAATGCATGTTTAAAAATGATGTGGTTTATTGCTTTTTTTACCAAGAAAGTTTAGTAGTTCAACTAATTATGTCTTGAATTGACCAAATTTAAGCCAAATCTGTCAAAAAAATCCCTGAAAAATCTCTGGCCACCAGTTTGACATTTTGAATCAAATAAAGAAACTAAATGAGCTTCATTAGTAATTAATCATGAATGATGTTAATACTACAATTAATTTTGTGGTCACCTGTCAAGGTCAAAAAAATAAAAAAAATAAAATCAATGTACAAATGTGTCCACAACAACATACAGCCACCCCCATCCCGGGGAATAAACTATAATTGTACATAATGTTGTTAGGGTTTCAGACTGTGACTGGTTCTCTTAGGTAGACAACCAAGTAAAAGAGATTTATTGTGTTGCAACATGTGTGGCATAATAATTACAATTAATACAACGAAAGGATGTGTAAATCCTGTCTACCGGGGTTCTTATCAGTGTTTGTTCGTGTTTGTGTATACCCATCATTGGCTTAATGTCACTGTTGACGATAATAACAGACTACTAGTATTCTGTCTTGGTCTACTCACCTTTATTCAGTGTCACCCTTAAAAATGTCACATGTACCCAAACATAGTTAAATCTGGTGACCTTGCCCTTTGTTATATAATATCTCCTTTATCATAGTTTGTTTCAATATGAATATTAATTGTCACAATTAATTTTGAGTACAAACAAGTTTTAGGATTGAAACAGCAGTGGGAAAGCAGTCTACCAAAAGCCCTTGAATGATGTAAACATTGGTGTCTAATTCTTGGCACATATTAGGACCAAAATATCTCTTTACGAGAGAATTATTATTTATAGTCTGTTATGGGATATAATTCACATCACACATTGGGAGCAAAAAATCTGTTGGGGGGGGGGGTATAATTCATATTTAGAGCAGAATAGTGACTCATATTTGAGACATAAAATTAGCATATCTCTGTGTGAGGGAGTAATATAATTCAGACACACATTGGGGGCAGCATATCTGCATGCAAGAGGGTTTAATATATGGCTCATATTGAGGGCTGAATAACTCTTTGAGGGAAGAGAGGTTTAATTCAGGGCACAAATAAGGAGCAGACTATAATTTTATGTTTTTCTCTACTAAAAGAAATCAACAGGTCTGGATTACAGTGTGAATAACATTTTGGTATACTTTTTGAAGAAAAAAAATGTATTAATTCAGGTATAGCAAAAACATTCGCATGGTATGGTTTTCATGAATTCAGACTTGAATCACAAATGTACGTCAATCTGTATTCAACTGGGATGCAAAAAAATCAAGAAAACATCACATGCTTAAAAATTGTTAGCTTAGAATGTAAATTTGAACAGACAAGGATTGCATTATTTTTGTTTTGATAACTTTGGACTGAACAGACATAATTTTCTATTGGCTTCAGATATCGATCTTGATCAAAAGTTTGGCATCCAAAGATTTATGGGTGCTTATATTGATTATCTGACAGCTTGTTTTCTGTAAAGAAGTTTATGCATTTTATTGATATGTTTGCAAATGTATATTAGCCTGTGCAACAATCCTCTCCATGAGTTGATCTAAGCATAGTCTAGTATTCCCATGGGATTTGAGAGATACACCAACAAAGATATTGACAAGTTAAATGATTTATTTCATTGAACAATGCATATTCCCACTGTGACCAGTGACCTCTGAATGTGCATCACCAGTAATTGGCCAAGTAGAAATTGTCAACATTTTTTATCAGATTGTTACTACTACTTTCTAAATTTGTGCATATTTCCAGATAGGATATCTGTCATTCACACTAAGGGAAGATTTTATACTGATAAATTAGCTAGGTAACTAAGTCTGATAAAGTTTAAAATAGAATTAGTAAATTTATTCTGCACACATTAACAATTATTAACAACGACGACGACAACAACAACGACAAAGACATACATTTTCCCCTTAATACACCTTTCCCTATCATTTTTAATGATACAGGCGAGGTAAAAATTGAACTAATATAATTTTTGTATAATGTATGGTATTCATACATCATGTATGTTTCATATATTTTTATGAACGATAATTTTGTTAGGATAAAGACAGCCTATTACTTAAAGGGTGATAGTCGTTGCGCCGCGCATGTGCGACATTTGTGTTGATAATCATTGCTTTTCCCACAATCCAATGCGCAAGTACGAGTTTTGCCCTGGGCGCAAAAAATTACCACCGGCGACTCTTTTGATATCTTCCAAATAACAAAACAAAATACCTAATTAAAGCTTGGTGACCTCTCAGTTTGTACTAGTTGGTGTACGCTACAGTCAAAATCGCCATCTTTGTTTATACGAGACCCATATCTCGCGCATGCCCGAAATGAGGACTACCGCCCTTTAATATTCATCCTTATCACCGATCCTGGCCATTGTACTATCCAGTTCATGAGGAGCGGAGATATACTGGTTCACTTCACTTGATTTATTTTCTTGTTTTGTTATTATCATTATATAACTAGTATATTTCACTTACCTCTCATCATGGTTGGCCATTTGACTGAAATCACGTTAACACATTTAACCTTAAACCTAGCACGGATGTGTTGAATATCTAAACAGGGATTAAATAATTCAACGACCCGATATACGACTACGAGTACTCCCCCTGTGCACAGGTCAACTTCAAACTCAAGAGCGCCGCTTGTGGTGACACGAGATGTTATTGTGTATGTAGCGCCCTCAGTTGGTTTCTCAGCACACATCTGTTGTTTTTGAGCTGTCCAAGTGTTGTTTGCAGGCCGAACACAAAACAGCAATTACTTAAACATGGTAAAATTCTAATATGGCCACTCAACATAGAAATAAATTATAATAATTAACCACTACACGATGGTACCTTAAGTCAATCATAATTATTATGAATATTTCTTGCAGGAGGCCGACCTCTCTAAAAGGAAAACATGAAGACATATGTACATTGTATATTTTAATATTTATAGGTGATTAATGAGACCAATATAGTGGCACAAACGTAATATAGTTATTATGGTTCTCCATATATTTCATACGTGTTTAGGTAATAAATAGGCTAATATAAAACCACTATTGAAGTGACCGGTTTGTCTTTAGCAAACACACTACGATGACAAAAAAATGCCTTTTTATAGACATCAGAGGCGCCAAAATAGTTTATACTAAGTTGTAAATAGTCCCTTGATGAGCAAGACCAACTTAAAAAAAATTCCATACGAATGAGACTAAGTCTTAACTTCATAAGGTGTTGAAATAATATTTACATGGCGCGATTTGTCATTTTTTGCCATTTTTCTATATCTTTTTTTCATGACGTCCACTTCAATTCATGTGAGATATTTTGCGAATCAAACGGTGTCTGGCATGAATCATACACGTACGATAAATGTCTAGTTTTGTGTGTTTCAGACTGCGTCCGGTTCTTTGTGGTATAGTCAACCAAGCGAGGGAGGTTATTGTGTCCCAACACGTGTGGCACAACAGTTACAATCGATACTGTACCAATGAAAAGATGTGTAAATCCTGTCTACCTGTGTGCATTCGTGTTTGTGTATAGCCACCATTGGCTTAATGTCACTGTTAGCGATAACAGCAGACTATTCCGTGTTGGTTCCGACATTGATTGACTATCGCTGAATATGGCTCACGAGAGATCGGCCTTATCACTCCTTATATTTAATATATCGTTCTGAACACCCTTTTTTGATAGTTTTATTCACTAACTGCAATTTAAACAGCGCAATACGGTGATGATAATACAGCGTTCAGTTGTGTAGAGTGCATCTCTCCGTGTCTTTACTATAATTTTGTGGACCCGACACGAGCTCGAGCCTGAATAAAACAAAATGCTTTTAGTTTGATTTCGTTTTTCAGCAACACATCAGTGCGTAGACGTAGAAAGCGACTTTAAACTAATCACGAAAAAAAATTATATCTATGTGATCTTCCAATTCTTTGTTCAGTTACAAGCGGCTCTAATGACGCGTTTTTGAATGGACAAATATGAACATCAGCTCTACATTAATTATCATTGCCAATAAACGAACATTTTTATTTTAAATTTCACAACAATATTGCGTTTAACAATAATTGATGCCGATACTTGTGTTCCACTGATCACTTGCCCAGTAGATCAAAATACTTGGTGTATTAATACCGGTGTAGGTGAAAATTCAATTCATGATAGTAGTAACACAATGCACCGGTGAACGAGTATCGAGAGTCGATCTTTGGGTAAGGTCTTACTCAATCTCGTCAGAATTAGACACTAAAACAAAAATCAGTTCGGGCAATTTGCTTATGGGAATATAGATTAGTTTGCCCACTGAGATGGCGGCTGTAGATAGGGTGCTATATTGAGCTATATTCTCTTACGTCATACATTTTTGACAGTTTTGTTTGAAAGGGTTACCAACAAAACAAACTATTGTTACAAATGTGCCCATACCCGATCCGGTTAGCATTATGTAGCATATGGTATTAAAACAACTACAGAATAACACATAATTATGCAAATAAAATGTCTTTATAAGCGATGCTTGGCGATCGAAAGCATCATTTGGGAACATTGATTTGAACGTTCTACGAAGAGTGTAATTGGTACATCATCGACTATGTTACGTTTCGTATTGCTCTTTTTATTGGCGAGTCTTACTCTGGTCGCTGCTGGGCTAACCGAGGTAAGTTAACAACTAAGGCTAGAACGATAGCACAATCGTTCGACCGTCTTTAATTTACCGAAACAAATTCTGTATACTTTAAATTACCGGCATTTTTGTGAACATATTGAAATATTTAACTACCATTTTACGGATCAGTTACATAACGCTGATACAAGGGCGATTGTACGTGTGATGTGAAGTAAAACTCGGCAACATTAATGCATCTTTTTACTTGGGAAGAAGGTGAAGGTGTGTAGTCGATCGGATATAACGGTGTTTGGTAACTTAAGTATGATAATGTACTTCTGTCTGTTTCTAGTATATATACTAAAAATGGGCTCTTTAGAGAGCATGTTTTCACTGAGTTCATAAGTTGGGTTTACCACTGACAGTATTGGGGAAAAACATTTCTATTTTTGTTTTTGTTTTGCTACAGCGACAGACGGCTGACGAGCTTGATATTAGTATGCTCGAGACGGAGCTGGCATTAGCACAAGGCACTTACACTTCACTATGTAAGTTCAGTCAGTTTTCATCGTTAAATTAGTTATTATGTAGTGCTGAACAAAAAATATAAAATATCTGAGTTTCCATTTCATCATGTGCACGCGTCGAACTTTTCCTTTGTGACATATAACGCTTTCAGTTTCTCATGTACGAAGGTATATGTTGTATAGGAAGTGTTATTATTCGTATTTGTAATGGCGTACTACCACTAAAGTAAAACTATATATTACCTCTAGATGGCTCGTGTTATAATATGTGTGGTGGCCAAAGTAATGGGAATTGTTATTGCTGTCCAAGATGCGTAAAATACTACGTATGTTGCGATGATTATTGGACGTATTGCCCCCGTAAGTACTGATTCTATTATTTCAGTGAGTTAACAATAGATAGGACTTTACCAGGCGCTTCGAAGATCAATAGATCAGTTTATATATTATAAATTTAGATATGCTCCGATTTACTTTTTTAATCTATTTGTAATATTCTTGTGTAAAACAGTTATTTTACGGGTAGATTTTATTGTGTCTCATTATGAAACCAATCTTCACAATTTGTATTGGTTCACTTCTTCGTATTCCTATCGCGTGTGTTCTCTCTTTCCCCAAAAAATTATATTTACTATGCTGCCTTGAGTTTATGTGACATATCTTGTATATATATGTACACTGGGATGATATAGATAGATATATTAATATATGTTCAAATTCGTATCTGTGAATAGCAACAACTGAGCCACCAACAACTGAGCCTCCGACAACTAAGCCACCAACAACTGAGCCTCCGACAACTAAGCCACCAACAACTGAGCCTCCGACAACTAAGCCACCAACAACTGAGCCCCCGACAACTGAGCCTCCGACAACTAAGCCACCAGTTGTATCAGGCGATCCACACATGAGAACATTCGATGGTCGTCCATACACGTTTATGGGCTTGTGTTGGTATACTCTGTTTAAAGACTGCACCCCAAAACATGCGTTTGAAGTCACTGCTAAATTTGGGCCGAGAGCTGATAGCACTCCTGAAAACATAAGAACCAGAACGGTTGCCATTAACATCACTGTTGGAGGGGAATCTGCATATATTGATGGTCTAGACGTTATAACGGTGAGTTTAAACCTGACATTGCTATTTTGTCAAATTAATAATGGAACACTAAATGGATCAGCATTTAATAATCGATTTTTGGTATTGCACTTGTTGCTAGTATATTTTCCTTTACTCACTGCACCTACAAATAAGGGTCATAATAATAAAATTCAAAGTTCACTTCAATTAGCAAATAACTCACTGACGTAATTTTCTTTGAAATACTCATTACAACCGAAATAGTCAAATCACTAGACATTGCGATATATTCGATAAGACAACATTCAGTCTGTCAAGTATGTTAAAAGAATTTGTTCATGCGTTTATATAACGAGTATTATGTTTAATTAAATACAATTTGTTAAACCCGTTAATTTTTATTCCATAGAATATTGCAGGAAGTGCGACTGCAAAAAGGGAAATACAGATCCAACAGGATGGGAATATGTTTCTAGCGAGCTTCACATCGAAGCAAACAACGTTCACTATAAAATGGACCCTTAAGAAACACGTCGTAGATACCTCTATTATCGGTACTGATTACGAGGGTAAACTATGCGGTATGTTGGGTAATGCTGATGGAAATGTCCACAATGACTTTAGAAAACCTGATGGCACCCCCGCACATACCGTTGACGAGTTTGGCTATAGCTGGAAAGTTGAAGGAAAAGAGTAAGTGCAGTTTTGTTTTAAATTGTTTTATGGCACTTTCATCGAGGTGCGATAGTCTTAGATATTAAAATTGGCGTAGAATGTAATTGCAAATTCGACATTACGCGTAAACAAAGTATTTCACAGTCCTGAAAAATAGACAAATGAATACATTTATGTTTTCCTTTGAAACATTCCATTTCGTAGACAAATCAGACAAATTAATTAGCAAGCATGACTGAAAATGACACTCTGAAATACACTTACATCTGACCTCGCACTCTCTGTTGTCTCATCTATTATTAATGTGACACTGTATACAAATAATTATACACATTTAAAACAACGACTGCAGTAACGTTTCACATTCGACTCTAAATAATGTGTATTGTCTTGTTTTTTGTAGATGTGACTTCATGTAGAGAAGTGGTCAGCCGATGGAAACAACGATTATTCAAGCATGTAAACATAACCATACGCTGGATTTACTTTAGCCACTAAGCCACTTAAACTTTGTATATGTAGCCTGCAGCACGTGTGACGTATACGCCACGTACGCTTTGGTTTGGAACTTGAAATCAATAAATGACATCTTAAAATGCACCATTGGAGGTCGTTGTAATTCTGTTATGTATGAAGTTACAACTTAATCAAAATCAGCAGCATTACTTTCGTCAAACAAAAAATATGTATCATCAACGTCCATCATAATAGACGTTAGATTCAGAGGCGACAGCACGACATTTTGCATGGGGAGGGCGAGATCTGCTCACCAACCTAGGGCCGAAGACGCAAACTTACTAGGGGGTCCGGGGGCATGCTCCTCCTTAAAAATTATGAAATCTAGACCCTCTGAAACGCTATTGTTGAGGGAAAAATTTTGCTGACACAAAAGGTTTCACCTTGATTTTGGAGAGGTGACGCCCCCCAACATATTTTTCGAGGGGCGACAGCCCCCTTTGCCCCCCTGTGCCGCCGCTGAGATTGATTGATTGATTAATTGAATACTTGATTGGATGATGGCACCAAACCTGGCTAGAGTAACCCCATGCCTTGTCAGGACATTTGTATTCCCTGTAATTCCAGCTTATTCATCTAGTCCTCAATGTCAGAAAACAACTCGACTTATGCATGATGGATTTGCTCTTCCCGATCCTTCACAATTTAGCACATTTGCTCACCAATTCAATTTGGTAACATTTGACTCATCAGATTCAACTTGACATTAAATAGCCACATCAACCACTTTAGAGACTGAGATATGCTAATTCCGTTTTTAGGAATTATATCGATAAAACGATGAGATTACACCGTTCCTGTAGAATGCGCCCTCTATTGACAAAGCGTGAATTGGTGACATGAGAGACGTTCAAAACATCAATATCGTTTTGATCTGTAGTCGTCCATGAATGAAGATTATGATTTTGCAAAACTTTAGATGATAAACGACTATGAAAACAGACTCAGTTGTCGATTGAAACGACACTGTCTTCATCCTTATACGTAATGATCACGTCACAGAAGCGTTCTGTCATCAGAAACCGGGATTTATAAGAATTTTAGTTTTCTTTCTATCACTACCAGCCATAATACTTGGTTTCACATGACTGAGTATAACTTAATAGACACAATAAATTCATTTCAGTTGAGTTGAATTGCCTTGCCCATCCCTGCTGTGATACGAATTGATTCAAAATGAATGTGACTATTTATCGCAATCAGCAAGTCGATTAAAATCATTTGCATAGTCCAAACTAAAGTTGTCAACAAATAAATGACTATATTTATTAAGTTGCTGCCTCAATATGTCATCGTCACGTGATGGGCTAAAATAAACCGGACGTTTACTTCATGTACTACATCTCTAATTCATGGTAACTGAGACTGTTTCGTTGTGTGTATGGGATATATTATGTGACAATTAGTAGTTATAAGTTGCACATATTGTTATTCATATACCTTAGATTCAAGACTCCCGAACTATACAGAAACGTAAATAGGTCAAAAACAATATGTCAAATTAGTTTTTAGTTATTAACCATGTTCTTATTTTCAATCTAAACTAACAAGCAGTTTATAATCGGGATTTATTATAATCACCAAACGACTACATGTCTCAGTTTTCAAATTCAGCACCCACGAATTATTAAAAATAAAATGTTCTCTATTTTGTCTTCCAAATAACATATTGATGTTACATTCTGTCAACATTTTACAAATATATCGTGGCAGCAAAATAATGGCAATTTGAGATGAAAGAGCGCCATCGTGTGTTTACATACATTCCAATACTAGACGATTCGAAGATACAAATATATTAGTATAGATATAAGATATATACGAGTATATTGAGAGTATGTACAACGCGGTTATCATGAAGTAACTGCGATTTAGTATTCATACCACTATAAAAGAGAATATAGAAGTTTATATTTGAAGAGGGTAAGAAAAAGAAAATATAGGGGTATGCTTCCTTAAACAACAATTTCATTATATTCTCCAATAAATAAAAAAAATTGCGAATCAAAATTATCTACAAAATATCCTGCATTGCAAGAATGTGAGTTATTGTGCATAATATCTGAGAAGAATTGACAGTTAATATAATATATTGATTAAAGCGCCCGCTAGAGACACATCGTGCTTTTAAAAATATCTTGATCTGCGCGATTTTACTTGCTGGTCATGTTGGCGGTGAATCACAAATTCGACATTACACGTTAACGAAGTAATTCGCAGTCCTGAATAATAGACCACTAGTTGGAATGATAATTAGGAAGTAGTCTCAAGGTATTTGGAGGTCATATTCCAAGTTCGATAATTGTCATCACACTTATGCTGTCAAGTAAATTGCAGTTTGATACATTCACGCAACGTGTTTTTATGAATACACAAACAAATAGTATTGAATAGTTCGTGTTTAGGATATTGATATAAGATACGGCGTAATGATTACACCTCATTAAGGTCGCCGAATGACTTCTCGTTACATATATAGACTCTGTAAGAACATAACGAAAAATAGCTTAATTTTTTCACGAAAGATTCTAAGGTAATAGATATTGTTGGCAACTATGATTGACGAAAAACTGTCAGTGTAAATCAAATAAAACAGTGTTTTTATATTCAACGAGATGCACGAACATTGTGTGGATTATTTGTGATAACCGTAGTTAATTTTTATTTGGCTGAAGAATGATTCTGAAACTTTGCCACTGCCGACCAGAAGTCATAGGAAATAACAATTAACTAGACGATAACAGGTGGCGTGTAACTTAACCGTACATGGTTCTAGAAATTGAACATATTTGCATGGGCTCCGAGCACATGTAATAATCAAAGTACCTGCATGGTGTATCAAGAAGCCGCAAAACGTGATGTCATCCCTGGTTCGATTTACTTTGCTTTTGTATTCGTACCATGTATTGCAGTGTATTCGATCTCATCAATCTATCTGTTCTGTTCGCACTAATGGAGTGTTGTCGATTCTACCCTGCTGCTATAATGCAGTACGCTGCTGTATCTAAACGTAATTAACCATTGACATACTCAACAGCAACAGTACGCAATAATCAAGTTTTGCGTAATTAACCCAGCGAACTAAACATATTGAACTTATATTGAAGTGGAGAGAAAGGCATCATGTCAGCCAACAAATAACTACATCTGCCTTGATTTGATAAGTGTCTCCCTTATTATTTTCCAATATAAACAATTAATATTACAGATTTACTGGTATGAATTTTAAGGTGAACCCTTATGATGTTTAAACGAAAAACGTACGTGATGTTCCTTGCCAGTAATTCAGACATGACATTATTATTCAACATAGACATACAACATAAAATAGTATTTATATTTATATCTATGAATATTCCACAATTTATTGCGCAGTAAGGTGTTCTGTACAATACATTTACTGGTATGAATTTTAAGGTGAACCCTTATGATGTTTAAACGAAAAATGTACGTGATGTTCCTTGCCAGTAATTCAGACATGACATTATTATTCAACATAGACATACAACATAAAATAGTATTTATATTTATATCTATGAATATTCCACAATTTATTGCGCAGTGAGGTGTTCTGTACAATACATTACGAGAACTGACATTATTATGATATTTGGCTGTTTTGTTCTCTCCTGATTAATCTGTGCATATCTATAGTAATAAACCCATAAAGTAATGTCAGTTGTAAACATGATTATAAATCAATGCATGACCACGTCTACTTATATTTTCACATCTGTAAACTCACTCACATATTCATATGTACATCATAGCTGTTGCATTTTTTGCTGAGAACTCTATATTTTAAATTCATATTTTGTTTCAGTTGTCTGTGATTTTGTTTCAAGAAATATGATATTAGAATTAAAGTAGCAAGAAGAGAAGTATATTTTTCTTATTATTATTTGAAAACTTCTTCACCACGGTTATGTATTTTGTGTATTACGTGACAATTATGTAAACAGTTGACGGCTTTTCAAATAATCATTGCATGACAGTTTTAAATGAGACAACATGACAAATGAAAATGATTTTAAAACGAAAATGGATTTGAAATTGAAAACAAAAAATGAAATTTAAAATTTAAAAACGAAAATAAATTGTATAACGAAATTGAATTTAATAAATGAAAAAGAATTTTAAAGCGAAAATGAATTTGAGATAAAAATATATTTTAAAACGAAAAACAAAAACGGAATCGTACTAGATTTTTTTTAAAAGGCGCGAGCCAACTCGGTTACCATAGAACAGACAGTCAACTTTACATTTATATAAAAAACATATGCATATATTAAACCGCAAATATTCTTCTGAAAACCTGAATTTCCATTAATATGATTTGAGGCTTTACTTCTACGAGTCGTCCTACTTTACATTTACTCTGTTCTTTTGTTGCAATTATAAAGAATTCATATTTTAACTGAAGAGTTCAGGACAGAGTCTAGACTAATCAGTCAATGCTTAAGCATACAAACCGTGAACACCGCTGAGTGAGCAGCTTTCCCTATGAAGCGGTAACTTCGATTAGTGTCAAAAAATAAAGACAGTTAAATTGATCATATTCTCCATCGTTATTCAAGAAGGAATCAATTGAGTGCCATACACACACAATATAGAGTGGAGTTACTAAAGTATGGACATCCCTTTGAAGGAAACAATTTCAGTCTTAAGTTAGTAGTATTAATCAGTTGAACCTCACATATTTACAATGTTATACATAAAAATAGTTTGGCCACACGACTTGAATTGCCATAAATTTAAAAAGGAAAATTTGTATATCGCATTAACATAAGCATTTATGAATTTCTTCGTCGTTATTATTATTGGCAATAATAAAACACAAGTTTGAAACACCGGCCAAGTTTAATTTATTCTGTTGTTGTCTCAGGAAAACCGTGCGATGCAGACGATGACGTCTAGCTCGCCTTTCTGTTTCAATCGATATGAAGAAATACCGCCAGAGTGACTGCCGTTGATGTTCTGCTTCGACTTTGGCCATTACACGTCTCAGAGCAAGTAGGTGTGTACTAAATACCATGTGTCCAACTATCACAGTGAGTTCTTGAATATTGGATCCTGAATATTGT